GCCCCCCCCCCCGCCCCACCAGCAGCAACAGCAGCAGCAGCAGCAGCAGCAGCAGCAACAGCAGCAGCAACATCATCAGCGTCAGCAGAGGTGTTCAACTGTCACTTTCACGTCTAATTACGCAGCACTTCACTATGAACAAATCCTGGTTCACAAGGTCTTTTCAAGGACAAATTCAAGCACTTTGAGGGACCAACTCCAGGACCATGTTAATAAGACTTTTTGTTTTTATTTGCTGAAACATTTTGTTCCTGTCAAAACTAAAAAAATCAGGTACAAACCCTTACAAAATTGTAAAACTTCTAGTTTCAAATTCTTTTGTGTATCGAGGTCTAGCAATAAAGTTTTTTTTAATTAGAAATATTTGATTTTCACCACCTGCACTCGTCACCTTGACACAGCTTCTCGGTGGAGAGGGGTGAAGGAGGGGCTAAATAAAACTTGTTTCAATTTAAACTTAACATTACTAATTTAACATTTATTTACTTAAATAATTTAGCTTTGTTAAAATGCCCCAATCCCTGGAAGCTGAATAAGATCTATTTTAGTTGAGAATGTCTGACTCTGATTTCCATTTTTCTACTAAATAAATTCAGCAGACACCGACACAGAGCTGCAGATGTCACTGTTTTCATGTTGATTATAAAATGAACTGGACACATTTGAAGCCTAAGGTCAGGAGGTCAGCGTCAGCAGCAGTGTTTGTGTTCTAACCTCCGTGGACAGAAACATTGGAGTCCTGTTTGTGTTTGTTCTGCAGGAGTCCAGCTGTGAGAGGAAACTCACAATAACACGACAGCGTCGCACAAACAAGCTTTCACACAAACCCTCCACCCACACAGAGAGGATTACTGCACCGTGAGTCGACTGTAAACGTCTTCTACAGCTTCACAGACCGCGGCTGAATGTGGAAATATTTATGTCTCCGTCTTATTACCTCCAATAAATCACATTACACCAAAGAACATAATACTGCGCTCTTACTTACACTGTATACTTTTACTGCTTTAGTCCAGCCATGAAAACAAATGATTCTGTAAAAGCATCAACCTGTGTATAAAGGTGTCCACACACACACACACACACACACAAATGGTTTGTCGTTTAAAAAAAATGGAAAATTGTCACTGCTGTTATTCTTACTGCTGCTGCAGTGACATCGAAGTCGTAAAGAACCGTGTTAAGCGTCTAAACAAAGACGACTCGTTTGGTACATTTCTGTCGTCTTCTATTGTTGATTTCAATTGCTCTATAAAATAAGAACTGAGACTCTGCAAATCAGAAGCAGCGTTGATTTTTTTTCTTTTCAAATCTTGTCTGATTTATAAAACTCTACAAAAAAATCTTTACTTTGTTTTTTTTTATCTGAGAAACTGAGATCAAAGATGATCTTCAGAACTTCAGAGGGTAACTTTGATGTTGGTAGACTGTTAATCTGGAGGTCGTCACATGACTCTTAGATTTCATCTTTTAAGTTTTGCGTCAGAAACCCCCCCAAACACACACTCTCTACCGCTGCGCCCCCTGTTGACAGTGAAGTGCTAATTCAGTCTGCCCAGATGGTTCACGTCAGACCTGTTGCTTCTCATCACAGCCACGATCATCTGTGACACTTGACTAACGCAGGGTAATGTGTCTGCGTGTGTTTAAGTGAACAGCCTGATTTGACGAGTGACGTCGGGAAGATAAAGAGCCGTCGCACAACTCCATTAAGAGACGACATCTGCGTCATCACATCCTGTGGAAGAAGAGCCAATCAGAGAGCTCTGTCAGGAGGCTGTCACACAAACAGCACAGGCTGTGGCTCACTGACGGAACAACAACAACAACAGCAACACTGTGACAGACAGCAGGAACAGTCAAAGTCACACCAACAAACCCTCCTCAGAGAACACAACGACCACGACTGTGCAGACGCTCAGAGGAACCTGCAGCAGGTTCCACCAGAGGAACATTCAGTCTGTGTTGTTCAGAACAACTCTGATGCTGAGGGAGGTGGGGGGGGGGGGGGCTACAGGGGTATCTGAACTTGCAGAACCTGGTGGCCTTAGAACCTAAAAACCCACATGACAAGCTCAAAATGCAGAGTTAAATACAGAACACAAACAGCAGAACAGCAACTCTTCTTTAGAACCTGGTGACCAGAGATCACATAGACACAAAAACACAAAAACAACCTCAAATAAGCAGAACGTTTCAGTTTCTTTGAAGAAAGTGTTTCATCAACAGGTCGAAGGTTCGACTTATGGTCGGAGAATGTTGTACTAGTTAAATCTGCTTAGTAATAACAGATTGTAGTACAGTATGTGTTTAGGCATGCGCAGTAGCACCGCAGCGGCAGTGATTTTGGATGTTTCTTACTTTGTTCAAATAAACCTTAATTTTAAGTTTTGAAGCAAAAACTCGACTGTTTATTGAACATTACAGTAGCAGGATTGATTAAAGTAAATTATTAAAGTGTTAATGTACCTTTTTACAGGATCGGTAATTTTATGCTAGCAGCTAGCTCTTACCGTTTGTTGTGTGCGGCTACAGCACAAACTGCCGTAGATGAAACGGTTTATCGTAAAAACTTCAGTTGGTAAACCGGTTCATCGATGATTTTAGGTGACGCCAAAAATACTTCCGTGTTGTTTGGTCTCCATTTTCCGTAGGCCTTCCCACCAACCGCCTCCCATTTCCGACTGTAAAAACTGTACCTGCGCGGACACGCGACCACCACACGAACTCAGAAACATTCATCTGAACAACTTCTCAGGCACCTGTTTAAACCTCTGCCCCGCCTACTTTTCGACCAATCACAGAGCACATAGGCATGACTGACAGCCCTGACCATTGAGATGCCTTCACTGACTTCCAGGAAAAACGCGCAACAAAAAGTGGCCATATACTGTATATACTGTATATAAAAACTATCAGAGACAAAATAATTTAAAATTAAATCAAAGAGCTGAAATGCTCATTATTTCTCAAAGACTCTTAGTCTCTGGAGTCATTTAGTCCAGAAACATCTGATCAGTAAAAAACGAGTTCAATCTCCACTGAGAGAGATTTAAGTTTGGAGTAAAAAGAGAAGATTTCTCCTTTTCCTTCTCCTCTGTGGCTGTGATTTAACTCTGACCTCTGTGATCAGCAACTAATGAGCAGATGATTGAGACGGAAACAGAAAAAGTCTTTACACAAAAAAAGGGAGAAAAGAAAATGAGCTGATCCAGGATCAGTGGGGATTATTGGAGTCATATTCAGTTTCTCTGCAGGTGTTGGATCGACAGGTGTGGGAAGCCTCGGGTATAGAAACATAAAAAAAGACTAAATCAGCTTCACAAAAATCAATCACTTCCTCCAACCGGAAGACTGTGTTATTACAAATCCTATAGTCCATTATTGGAGCTGTGTCTAAAATACAAATAATCAACATGGAGCCCATTCTCCCTCCTCCTGCTCCTCCTGCTCCTCCTGCATTTTCTGTTGTATTTAACTACAGATCACAGTGCTGAACAACAATAACAAGTACAATTTGTTAAAATTAGTTCTATTCTGATCTTTTTATTTTGTTCATAAAGAACTTTTAGTTTCATTGTCATCTTAGTATCAGCTTTTTGTTTTGTTTTGTTTTTTTAAATAAAGTTTTCCACAGCATTTTTCACAATCTTTTGTGAAGAAACTTTAGTTTTTTGCAGAATGCTAATCTGTCATAATTCAGTGTCTGCTGTTCTGGGAAATTCTGCTTCGGTTACAGTGAGAACGATGATGAACAGATGCTCAGTGCCAGATGTAAACAGCACTAACACGGTGTGTGATGTTTGCTGAGAATCACTGGAGCGTGGACTGTTTGTGTTTCAGCTTCTGTGGGTCACAGTTTAGATGTGTGACAAATCAGCAGAAGGGGGACGGGGAGAGAGCTGAGGGGGAGATAGATAGAGGAGCGGGTAATGTGAGAGATAGGGAAGGCGATAGAGAGAGTTAGCGCCTCCTCCTGTTCTCCAGATCGTATGGATGAACACAGCTGAGGAAACAAGGCCTCGCACAAATCTCTCCCTGTCACTAATGTAATAAACAGAAGGGCTCAGCTTTCTGATGAGGAGCAATCACAGAGTGGAGGATGGAGGAGCAGTCTGAGGGGCTGAGATTAGATTTCACAGCTGTGCCTCCTCGGAGGACGACGTTTATAAGTCTGTTCGTCCTTCACTCCTACCGTCCATTTCACTCACATCTCTGACCTAGAATCAGTCCCCGAGACCTGAGAAGATCTTTTTACCTTAAGAGTAAAAGCTAATAAAAAAAAAATCCTGCCAACGTTACCAGCGCTGCTGGTTGACATTAAACAAATGAGCAGTGGATTTGGCAGCAGCGAGGTGTGAGGAGACAGAAACTACAGAAACATGCGTTCGTTGATCAGAGGAAATAAAGGCTGAGGTAACGGGTCATCGGGCGACTGTTGAAGCGTTTGGAAAACATCGTGCGTCAGACACACACTCAGAAGACAGATGGAGGCAGAGAGGAGACGGAGCACAGACTAGCCTGAACATTTGGTGACGCTGATCAACAGCCACGCGCTTTCATTCTGCTCCTCAAATGAACACAAAAGAAAAATCCACTCATCATCAGAACTGATGGTGTGGAGACAGTGGACAGATGAGGAGAACAGCTGAGGCTGAGACGGTTTGGACCGTATCTGAGGACAGATGGTGGAGATGGAGCTTCCAGGCAGATTCGTGGATGTAATGAGGCAGAACATAAAGACGGCTGGAGGAACATTTGAAAAAAACCAGACGGCAGAAGATTAGAAAAGTAGAAATCGATGTTAAGTGAATGGAAGAACTCACTGCTGATCCATTTTGCGTTGGGGTCGTGAACCTTGAAGTCCTTCCTGGACAGGTCACCTACGCTCACTTTGCTCTTGAGGGCCAGGCGGTCATCGTCACCTGCACCGGAAAAATAAACAAGGAGATAAATAAATAACTACTGTAAATAAAATTAAAATAATTAAAAACTGAATAAATGAAAAACATGTTTTGCATCCGATTGTCAGAATTGTTTACTCATGAATGCACAGAAAAGACAAACAATCCTTTATAGATACAAACTAAACAATCTCTGTAAAGACTATTTTTTGGACTGTGTTTTTAAACTTTAAAAACATCTGAACACGTCGTGTTGTTTCATAATCACTGCAGGCTGGTACAGATATTTTCATCTGTTGGAAATCCAGTGGAAAGTCTTTTCTCATGTCCAACTGCTTCCTCTGGGCTACGTCCACATCTAATGTACTTCAGTCCACCGTCCACTCTAATCTGATGTGCTGTGGCCAGATGGACCTCCACGCTTACAAACACAATCATTTTCCAGCAGCCAAAACTGAAGTGAATATTCAGAGCAGCCTGTTTTCCACTCTCTCAGAGCCTTGGCCGTCTCACAGACACACACCAGACCAACCGTCAGCCTCTCACCGACCATGAAAACACCAGCAACACAGAGGAGGAAGTCACAGAGTAAAACATCAGAGCAGTGGAACAGAAACCAGACAGACAATCAGATCCAGGTCCAAGAGTAGTTTCATCTCTGAGTGTGAGTAAACTGTAAACTTCTGAAAACTTCCTAGATGGTAATAATCCGTTCATTCATTCATTTATTCATTTATTGATGACCATCTGAACTGATCGACTACAGAGCAGTATAAGAACTGAGAGAAAACTAAAATACAAATCTACATCGGACGTCAGTCCATCTTTATCGACATCCTTCAAAAAGGATTAAATCTGTGTGTGACGTTGGACAGTCAGCTGATGGACACACTCTCTTCTCCCCAGATTTAAACTCAGACATTTTCAACGGCATCACTGTCGTCTGAATGTGTGATGTTAAATCCCCCAGCTCATCATTTCCACCTCCATAACGCTGCTGTCACTTCTGTCTCCGTCCAACGTTGGCAAGAGTGACACTGAATCAAAAACAGGAGGAGAAACAAAAAAGAGATCTGGAAGAAGGAGATGAAGATGAGAAAAGAAATCCTGTTTTCTGTCCTGTAAACACAGATCATCTGGTTCCACTGGAACAGAACTGAAATTCCAGGCTTTTATCACTGGAGAATAAGTTCCTCCTCCTAAAACCATCAGCATTCTCGGGTGTTTCTCCCGTCCTCCAACAGTCCACGATCATCAACACCTCAGATGGAGATGGTGGCTTAGATGTTCTCTCTGCTGAGAGGAACAATCTTTCCATCAGTGGGTTCCTCGGCGGCTCCTGTGAGAACGTATGAGCTGCTGAGACGGTTCCACTCAGTTAAAGAGCTTTGTTGATGGATGTTCTGTCGCCGGAGCGAGCAGCGTCTTCCTAACTGCTGCTGTCAACCTCTTTGTTGTCACGTGTACACACACACACACATACACACACACTCACAGCCTCCATCTTCTCTCCTGACAGCCTGTGTTCCTACAGCTCCCAGTTCCATGTTAGTGGAGCTGCTGGGTTGGGTGAACAAGGAGGTCAGATGTTCTCCGTGTTCCTCAGCCTGAGTGATGTCACTCTCTCTGACAGCTTCAGTCTTAAATTGAAGTAGAAAAAAAAAAGAAAACCCTGCAGCAGCTCAGTGCAGCAGGTGAGGATCAGGGGAGTGTTTGATGAAGGGATGGTTCCTAAAACAGTACCAAGGACTTTCCATTATCATCAGACGTGTTTGCTGAAAGATACCAGAACGTTCTGACCGTCAGTAAAAGTCTGGTTTTGGTTCCACTCTAATCAGAGTCCAGTGAAGATTCTTGATTGACAGACATCAGTTCCACAAAAACAGTCCAATTAAAAAAGTGCAGTAAAGTGAGTTCCCAGTACTTGGCACAATGTCTTCAGTAGGAAAAAGTACATAGTGTCTGGTACTAATTCCTGCAGTGACATGTGCCTATAGTCACTGCATTATTTATTAACTTGCTCTCATTTAACCTAATTTCCCAGAATTCCTTCTCCTGCTGGTCAGAAGCCGTCATTAAAATTTAAGCAAATTAAATAAATGTTTAATTTACTGATGATGTCATGGTTTATTTAACAGGTTTAAAATGAGGGTTTTATCAATATTTAATATCTTTAATTATCAATGGACCAATAAACTAAAGGCTCCACTTTGGTTCTGATTGACATTTGACCCCTCAGCCTTCCAACTGACATCACTTCAGTGTTAGCTACTGTACACAGATGTGTCCAAACACTGGGATCAAACCTCTGACGTTCCACTGGGCAGGCAACCTGCTCATCCACTGCTGCATAGCTGCACTGACCTGGTTTGGAGCCTGCAGCGTTTTTCTTTTCAACCAGGGTCAAAGGTCACTTCTCATCATCATACTGAAAAAAAACTTTCTACATTTTTTAGAATCTTGTCCTTGAACGACGATGTTTTATTTTGTCATTTTCGTCTTCACAGTTGAGACCCTCGGATCAGCGCTCCCTCCGCAGGACATCGATAAGACAGCAGCTAACATTTAGCCCAGGAAACAGCTAAGAATTTAGCCAAAACTATTTTTAGCCTCAGATGAAGAGCAGCGGAGGCCGTGAGAATTCCTGTCTCTTTTCCAGAGTCACTGCTGGATTTAAACTCACTCCGGCTCAGAAAAGAATTTACTTCACATTATCATATAAACTGCTTATATGAGCCGACCCTGCTGAGACCCCGCTGAGGCTGGGGGCGCGGGTACTCCTGACTCGTATAAAACTCGGTGCTGTGATCACAGCTTCTGTGAGCAGCAGATAAAGAGGTTCTTCAGGGTA